TGATTAATACTCACACTTTGAAGGCCACGGCCATGCACACTTAAATAAGTGTGTCATGTGCTTAAGTTCAAGACTACTTGAAAACATAATTAATGATGTATATGAAAGAGTTTGAAATGGTTGTACTTGAATTTAAATAAATGGAAAATCATTGAATCTCACACATGTACCAATTTGGGCATGTGAGGAAAAAGGACCTAGGAATTGAATATTATAATGTTAAAGTATTCATTGATACATTCGATAAATTGTTAGGTGCATAGAAGGTTGGTAGTTAAGGAAAAGACTTAAAAACTCAAGAAATCCTTATGTAACAATTTGGCCATGATGTGGTTAAATTAGAAATAATTATATTTAATCATAGTTTGATGGATAAGGTTGAACATTAAGGTATATTAAGGTATATGAAGTAATGAATTGATTGATTATAAACCTAATCAAGCCATTGGATTAATAAAGTGGATGACTAAGGGTGATCTGAAAAATTGTCATTGGGGGTTGTCTTCTCGGACTTGAGATTGTTTGGAAGATGTGTTTGCGCTTTGTTTGGCTTGAAGGAGATTCTCTAGTAGCTCAACAACTCATCAAAGAGGAGTGTAGTCAAAGTCATCCAGCGTTTATTTTGGTCAAGCGTATAAAAAAGATGATGGCTTCGGATTGGAGGATAATGATCTCCCATATTCATAGGGAAGGAAATGGAGTTGCAGATTGGATGGCTTCTTTTGCTTACAGTTTTGATTGGTCCTTACAGGAGTTTTCCTCACCTCCTTTAGGATGTTGTGAAAGGCTTAGCAGGGACTCCATTGGAGTAGCTTGGCCGAGGCTTTGCAAGTAGTTTTTTGTTTTCCTTGTCTTTCTTTTCCTTGTAATCTTTTTCAAAAAAAAAAAAAAATTGTCATTGGAAATGGCCATATAATGATTTAATTGATGATTTGATATTAATGCAACCTTAAAATAATAATTAAAAGCATGAAAAATATGTAATGAAGGATACATACATTTCGGCCATTAAGAGGTTTCATTGAGATTGGAACGTTTGGTGAGTTATTAACTTAATGATTATTTAAATTAAATAGTGTAATGAACAAGGAATAAAGAATGAAAAGCTTTAAATCATGATGATATTGGTGGGACCCACATTCGGCCACCATGGGTAAATGATCTTAGTGGTTGTTTTAATTCAAGTGGAAGTTTTAAAAGAAAGTAGTAATGATATCATTGTAATTGGTAAATTAATATCTAGGTGTAAGTTGTTAACTTACAAGTGACACTCATTTAAAAATTTATGATGTTTTGTTTGTGATCCTAGTGCGTGACCAGGTAAAGTAGAGTGAAGATCAAGTGGTCTCAGAGAGAGCTTTTCAGGTAAGCTCTATGTTTAAGGAGTTTTCTAAGCATTGATTGGAAGCTTTAAGAGGTAAGCTTTCGGTTCTTAGGGTTAATTTCTTTTTTGTTCCACCATACTCCGAGAGAGTAGTGGTTTTATATAGTGTATGTAATTGCATTGAATTGTGAAATAATGCATTGTATGTGTACTGCTTTATGTGCCACATAAGATGGTGTTTTCTTGTGTGAGGCCTAAGACGATGTTTCCTTATGCTTAATATAAGACAATGTTTCCTTATACTTGGTGTGTTGCAAGACGGTGTTTTCTTGCGTAATTCATACATTGTAGGTTCTTTGGCCAGTAGAATTTACTATTGCATACATTACATTTATATATATATATATATATATGATGTATTATCTTAATTTTACTGCTGTTATACCTGAAGTGAACTTAGGGGTAGAGGAATCCTCTAAGGATCCCAAGTTTACTAAGATGTTTATCTCACCTCGTGTGGGGACATATTTTAGGTATAAAGACTCATGATGTGGGTGCATCTTGTGGCAAGAGGCTGAGATAGAGATATTGTATGACATCAGATTGTAGATTGTCTTTTGATATGTTTATGACATGATGATATTATGGAGAGCATAGGGAGTTTCTATGCCATTTTGGATAGTCAATGTACATTTGTGAGAGATATATGTATAGGTTTATGCCACTTATTTATTTAAATCACTTTTTTTAATTGATATAATCATGTAAATAATCATTTTTCTATGTTATTTTGATACATGAGATGTATGAAATAGCATACGAAAAGGATTGCTAGGAAATATGGTTCATGTATGTATGACTTACATGATATATATGAGATTCAATGTAATATTCTGTAAATTGAGGCATTATAAATGATTCATTGATGGATCATTAAATTAAGCCTTGAATTGACTTGTATCATGTATGATAAAGGTTCTAAAATGGTCAATTAGGTATTATAACTATTTGAGACAATACCATAAGGTGCTGTCAAAATTTGTGCTCCCTAATATATTACCTAATTTAGAAAACCCATAACACAATCAATTCTCAACTAAATGGGACGTGGGAGGAGGTATCAAATTAAATCATAGGATGTTTACTCTCATGTCCTAAAATATGGGATTTTTTTGGGTTGAGATTCATTAACAGTTTTTGAAAGAAGGGACATTGTCCAAAATTGAGGTTGTATGGACAAATTATGGCCTTTTGTTTAACGACCATAACTCCTTCGTTCATTAACCAAATGGGGAATATTACATATCAAATTAAATCCCCATAAGTCTAGTTTCTTGCATTAAAATTTCATAATTTTCTGGGCGGGAAAATGTTACCAGTTAAATTTTGAGTTCCCTGCCCTGTGTTCTGGATGTCCATTTTGAAACAGTTGACTTATGACAAACGTATCTTGAGTTATACAGATCCAATTGAGGCTTATGATATGCCGTTAGAAAACTTAATATGTCTAATTTAACATAGTAAAATATGAAAATTTATGGTGAGGGGGGCAGTCCCAATTTTACAAGATGCAATGTATGTTTAATGTTAAATGAGCAAGTGATGATATTTCAAAGAGATGAGTATTGAATAGGGTTTTATCTTATAAATTAATAGAGTGTAGGCAATAGTGAAGCATGTTTATGATAAGTTAATGCATAATTAGTTCAAGTATAAAAGGAAAAATTTTATACGTAATTCCACGTTTAATTACTCTAATTGTAATGACGCTTAATACCATATATAATATTAACAAATCAGTCTGGAACAGGGTATTATACTATAGCAGGTTCAATTGGTTCATGAAAACAAAGCATCGAAAGAGGGAAAACATATCTAATCTTGTTCTTAAATATGATAAATTCATACATCTCTATCGTAATTTGATTTAGGGGGTGTTTGGTTCGGGAGAAAAAAAATTTCACTAGAGAAATAGAATTACTAGGGGAATTGTTGGAAAGTGATTTTAGTAGGAAAGTTTGAAAAAAGTTGTTTGGTACGCTGGAATATTACTGGAAAAATTGGGTCAAATTTTTTGAGTATATGTTTGAATGAAAGTAAAATATTGATGGAAAAATTGATTAAAAATACTAAAATACCCTCTCTTTTTTTCTTTTTGAATGTGTTACCGTTGGACATTTCTACCAACATCAAATAAATAAGTTTTCATATCTAGATAATTCTCTTCGTCTCTCCTTTCATGTTATTTGTTGAACAGAACAGTTGTTTGTTGAACAGAACATTTCGAGAACAAAACAGTTGTTTGTTGCGCATAACTGCCATTTATTTCATGTTACCGTAGTGACTATTTTATTGTATCTATTTTTCGAAAATAGAATGACTACTGTATAATATTTGTCGTGATGTTTCCCTTGTTGTGTGGGTCTTTGAAATGTTGTTTATGTTGGTCACGTTAACGACAAAAAGATGAGGATATTTTAGTCTGAATCTATTTCTCTTTCTTCCCCATTTAGCCAGACAACCACAAATACTACCTCACAATTGTTTTTCTAAACTGTGATTTTTGCTTGGAATTTTCAAACGCTATGCAAATGTGATGCCCGGATAAATATTGCAATTCTCTCTACCAAACATGGTTTACACCATTTCCCAACATCAGATACATAGAAAAATATTTGGAAACCTTGAACCAAATACCACCTTTTAGTGTTTGCTGAGTTTAGAATTCCATTATTGTTATCATTTTATTTACTGCTGTTATAAAAATTTAGATATAATTCAATCAACAATTTCATAAGACACAAAGAGGAATGCAATTGTTATTTGTACATTCATAAATTACACATCTAAAATTGTCTCCGAGGGAACCATAACTCTTATTCTATCTTTATATTACTTGTGACCATATATACTTGCACAGTTGTTCCCAACTCTAAATTTACATATTCACTTGAGAACCAGACATAGAGATTTAGCACTTTTCCCCTCCCACACTCCCATCACCCCCCATAATCAGATTGATGGCTCTCTGATGCTTGTCTCCCTCATGATAGTTATCCATCCATTTGGTCTGTACATTAAAGGACCAGCCACCTTCATGGGCCGGATATTTCACCCTGAACACGCGCACGAGCAATATCTTCACCTGTATTGTCTCCTCTTTTATACTGGCATTGTTATAAATTCATTCAAATGCAAAATCCGTGTCCCATCAGAATCTTAATTTATGTTCCAACAATTGTCCTAAGCAAATTAAAACAAGTGAAAAAAAAGTTAAAAAAAAAATGTTATATTTGTTTCGGGAAATGAAAACGATGCCAATTACATCCACGGTCGCATGATGGCAGTGTCCACGTCATCCGACCGGGTTCACTTTGAGTCGGTTAATAACCTCACCTCTATCACTCACAAAATTTAGCTGCAAAACCAAACCAAACACGCCTGTGCCATTCATTGTGTTCACTTTGAGTCGGTTAATAACCTCACCTCTATCACTCACAAAATTTAGCTGCAAAACCAAACCAAACACGCCTGTGCCATTCATTGTGCCATTCATTGTGGCACGTTACATGTCCTATTTCATTTGATTTCCCATTAATTTTATTGAAAAAGGAAATGCTTCAAACTAAACCGTAGAGAAGAAGAACATATAGGCCTCTGGTTCTTGAAACCAAACATGGCCACGATGCGCAAATTGTCGTTTTGCAAGCCCCCCGATGGCCTTCTCGAGATCTCTGACAGAGTTTATGGTATATCCTTCTCTTTTCTTCCTTCATTTGCTTCATTTCATTTTGCATTCTTTGTCATGCATGATACATATGTATATATTTATTTTAATTGATTGATATTGTTGGAACATTTTATGTTACTGTAGTTTTTGATTGCTGTTTCGGCATGGAACATGATCGGAATGAACAACATTACAAAGTCTACGTGGATGGGGTGGTTGGTCAATTTCGAAAAAACGTTCCTGACGCTTCAATTTTGGCATGCAATTTCGGTGAGGAAGAGACAAATAGCAAGATGGCCAATGTTTTGTCCTTGCATGATGTTACTCTCATGGACTATCCTCGCCACTACCTAGGTTGCCCCGTGCTAAAAATGGAAACCATGTGCCTCTTTCTAAGGTCGTGTGAAAGTTGGCTCTCTAATCGTCACCACAATGTCTTGTTGATGCATTGTGAGCGTGATGGTTGGCCAGTTTTGGCTTTCATGTTGGCTGCATTGTTGATTTTGATGAAGAAGTGTGATGGTGAACAGAGGACTTTGGATATGGTTTACAAGCAAGCTAAGCGCGAGCTTTTGCATTTGTTGATGCCAGTGAATCCCATCCATTCGCAACTGAGGTATTTGCAGTACGTTTCAGGGAGGAATAGGACCTTAGACTGGCCTCCATTGGACAGGGCTATCAGGTTGGATTGTATCATTGTCAGGTTTATCCCAAACTTTGTTGGTGAAGGTGGTTGTGGTCCGGTGTTTAGAATTTATGGACAGGATCCTTTTCATGCCGATAAGAATCCAAAAATCTTGTACTCAACGCCCAAGATAACCAAAAATGTCCGGGCTTACAATATGGTGAGTTTACCTCTTGCTTCATGTATCTCCTCTTTTTTGGGAAGTTCAAGAATTCCTTTTGTTGTGCATATAGAGAAGAAATTTATTAAAGAAGTTCATTCGTTTCTTTAGACTATTTCTGTTTGTTGATGATGTTAGAAGAACATGTGATTCTTTGGTGGTACACACTGATTACATATATTGTGACACATTTAATAATTGTCATGCCTCCGCCTAACAACTTAAGATTTTAAGAGAGTTGTTTCTTTTCTTTCTAGAATATCAGAGCCTTAATGTCTACATGGTTAGAACTTAAATACTAGTTACCAGCATTCTTCATAATCAAATTAAATTTCTGTATAAGGAAAGTAGATCCGTGCAATATCCATTGTTTAAGTTCAAAAGTCATTCTTGGGCCTGAAACTAACAGTTTGAGCTTTTAGGATAATTGGTGTTTAACGATTGTAATAACAAACAAATATTTAAAAAATCAATCCCAAACATTAAGCACTTCAACAGTACTTGATCAATATATTTCTAATCGAATAAAAGACTATTGTGTTGTGTCAATTTATTTAAAGCAAATGAAATGGGAGGAAATATGTCTTTTTCCCTTTCGTCCTCGTCCTTCATTGCTGGTTTCATCTTCAGTCATTTTGATTTGCACAGTCCTTGGAGCAGGATTGACTAATTAAGTTTTAGTTGTTCAGAAGCCTAGCATCATCAGTGATAGAATCATGCATGTATATACATGCTGTTGAAAAACATGTAGTGCTTTACTCCTCTTTGATTAATACAGGAATTTTATTTTAAGATGTGTCTTAGTTTGTGATCCAAATTTTTGTTGGGATATTTAAGTATGATGGAGTTTCACATTAGTTGGTAATGGGTTAAGAGAAGTCCATATAAGTTGGAAGATCCATGAATTAAATACCTTAAGGTTTTGGGTTGAGACATGGTGGCAAACCCACTTGCTACAGTTGGGCTAGCTTAGCCGATATTGTGGTCCACTATCCCCCCATAAGCTCCCTTTGGCCCACCTGATAATGGTATTAGAGTCGGCTTAGGCTCAGGCTAGGAAGGTGTTTAGCTAGAGGCGGATTGAGTACTTGGGCTTGGGGTACTCAGAGAAACTTTTGTTGAGGGGGAGTATACTAATGTGGGGTTTTACACTTGAGGAGGAGATTGTGGGATATACAAGTGTGATAGAGTCCCATATTGATTAGTATTAGGTCAAGTGAAGTCCATACAAGTGGGAAAACCCGTGAGTTTAATGCCTTAAGATTTGGGTTGAGATATGGTAGCAAATCCGCTTGCTACGATTGGTGGTGATCTCCGCCTGCCTGACATTCTCTACCACATTGCAGCCTTCATCAGAATCAATAGTAATACCTAAATGAAAGAAGGATAGATAGTAGTATTGGGATCACAAACTTTAATAGGAATATCAGCATTTAGCACATCCCGGTGAAATTTCAACATGACTTTTTGCAAGAACCCAGATGAGTTCAGAGGGCCATTCTCTTAAACTTTAATATGCCTGAAATGTTCTCTGTGGTAGTTAATATTGTGTATCTTTTAATTTAGTCATGCAAGCCAGATGTTTCTGCAATTTGTTCAATATATTATAATTATGCTGAAATACTCTAATACTGTGTTGCAGGGAGATTGTGAAACAATTAAAGTTGATATCAATTGCCATATTCAAGGTGATGTCCTGATTGAGAGCATTAACTTGAATGGTGACATGGACAGGGAGCACCTGATGTTCCGAGCCATGTTCAACACAGCTTTTATTAGATCTAATTCCCTGGTACTTAATCGGGACAACATTGATGTTTTATGGTATGCTAAAGATTGCTTCCCAAAGGATTTCAGAGCAGAGGTACATCTCTTTTCCACCTATAATCGTGCAGTTATTCGAGATCAAATATTCCTAATGATTTTTTATTTATTTATTCTCTTTTTGGTTTATGGTTGTATTAAGATTCTTTTCTCCGAGAAGGATGCTGCTGCAGCAGTTCTTGAGAATGGCACATCATGCTTTGGGGAGAACGAAGGATTGCCTGTTGAAGCATTTTCCAAAATTCAAGAGATCTTTAGTTATGCGGACTGGATGAATCCCACCGAAGATCCTGCACTAAAAGTACTCCAACAGAGACGTGATTCATCTATCATACATGACAAGTTGAATACAAGTTCGGATAAGTATGTGGAGAGTGGCACTCTTTTGCATGGCAAAGGTCCTGAACAGCCTCAGGAGAAAAAAAATGAAGCAAATTGTTTCTTGTCTTCAACTAAGCAATCCCCAGATAATGATATGAGTAGAAAAGAGGATAAGATCATCAAGACTGGTTATATTCCACCACAGTATAGGAAGTCTGACATCCTCAGTCAAAAAACGCCTAGCTCTTTAGAAAGAACCTCAGACTCCAGTAATTGTGTAACAGATTCTGCAAATCCTTACAGAAAACAACATTCATATAATTTTGCCTTATCTGGTTCTGTGGATACCTCCTCTAGTGGTTCAATGTCACCACAAACACCTCCACAGCACTCTCCCTTGTCTAGCAGGGCTAAAAAAGTTCATGATTTCCCTCCTTATAAGGAATCAGATCTTAATAGTCTTTTGCCTTTGAAATCAAGACATCCACTTACTGAAGAAACTGAATCTCAATCACAAGACAAATGTCAGTCATTTAATATTAGCTCTACAAATAGGACTCCATCCTCATGTGCTTGTCAAAATAAGTCACCGAATGATGATGTTTCTGATCCTCCGGCTTCTGCAATTAGGTCAACTCAGTCACCTCTTCCATCCCCTCAACTTTCTTCCCCAACACCTCCTTTAAAGAAGATTTTACCTGTTAGGACAAGACCTGATTCGTTCCCTTCAAAACTTCAAACCCCGCCACCTCCACCCACTCCTCCACTAAAGGAACATGTACAAATTAGAGCTGGACCTCAATCCCCACCAACTCCTCCAAAGGATGAAAAACAAATCAGAGCTGGAACCCCTCCTTCACCTCCAACTCCACCACCACCTCCTTGTCTTTCTGGGAAATCTGCAAGTCCTACTATAGCACCCCCGCCTCCGCCACCACCAGCTGTTCCTTCAGCTCCAGCTGCTCCACCACCTCCAACTTACTTTGATAAAGGAGGTGTAAAACCAGACAATGGTTTTCCCACGTCACTTTTGGTTGGTGGTGATGGACATAATGTGTCAGGCACACAAGGACATCGATCTACTTCATCCACTGGCTCAAAGGGACGAATTATATCACATACAAGCTCAAATAGTCAGACCAAAAAGTTGAAGCCATTGCATTGGTTGAAACTATCTAGAGCAGTGCAAGGAAGTTTGTGGGCAGAGGCACAGAAATCTGGTGAAGCTTCCAAGTAATGTTGATTTGGTTGTGGTGTCTCATTTTCAATGACTAATGCTCCTTTATTTTGTTTATGTGTCTTACATGATTCAGCTTTTATTATCCTAATGTAGAGCCCCGGAGATTGATATGTCAGAGCTTGAGAGTCTCTTCTCAGCTGCAGTCCCAAGAGCAGTCCCTTCCAAGAAGTCAAATGTCCAAAGCTCAGTTGGGCCAAAGTCTGATAAAGTGCAACTGGTAATTGAGATTTAGTTTGTAGTGGTACAGAGAGTGCTTCTACTCATTTCCATCATCTAGCTGTTTAAATTTGAATGTGATAGGTAAATCCAAGAAACATAGTTTCTAGGAATATATCTTTGAACTGGTTATTGTTTCACGTTGGCAACATATAAGTATATAGTTGCTAGGGGACTCATGTGAGGTTGTCATTGATGAACACTTTCAAAGATGACAAAGTGAAGTCTGAAAATTGATGTGCACAAAATTATTTTGAAAACTCTTAGAATAATATTGGTATTTAGCTAATCCATCTTGAAGCCAGTAGTGTCTGCGGTGTTTTCTTTCTCCCTACATATTATGGAATTATGAGAGTTCACTCCTTTGGTGCAGTGTGTGATATAATGAATGTTTATCTGTTTGCCGCAGTCTTCAAAAAAGATTTACTAATATGTATATTTTGTTTGGCTTTGGCATAGAGTTGGTATCATCTTACTTTTTCATTTTGACCAAGTTAAATATTGCTTGTCCTTGCAGATTGATCATACACGAGCATATAATTGTGAAATCCTTCTTTCAAAAGTGAAAGTGCCCTTACATGAATTCATGGTAAGATTGATGTTACTGTTACTGGCTTTGGGAAAGAAGGAAAACCAAATATTATTAATTGATAGGCTGTGCTATACATTTTAGAAAATTATGGCTTCATAGCTTTGTTCAATCTGATTCAGAGCTAATCTATATTTTAATTGTGATTCATGTTCATCAGAAGGTAAATAATGTCGGCATCACTTTAAGCATTCAACTATATAGAAGACTGGATCATTGTCCTGTTGCTGCTGCTGCTTCTTTCTTAACTTTTTAAATTTGTTTTTTTCTTTACCTAGTGGTTCTCAGTTTTGTTTGTAGAACCCAAATAAAGATCTCAATAAACCTGTTGCTTTATGATGTAATTTCTTGCCTACAAACTAAGAAACTGCTGCAGTAGATTTAGAGTAGTAACCTAACTGGAATTGTTAGTTTATCGGGCAATGAAGAATTCATAAAACAACTTCATGTGCAGTGATTTTAAAAGAGATAATGCTAGCATTTATAGTACATGTACAGATAGCATGTTCTCTGTTAGTAACACAAGCCAGTTGAAAAAAAAAAAAAAAAAAAACCTTATGACATAATCAGAGATAACATTATCTATATTTCTTATCCCTGATAATGGTTATATGAAAGAAACTTCGTCAGTGTTTTTTTTTTAGAATTAAGGTAGAGTTGGGTTGAATTGATCTGTGGAGAATATTACTTTGTATACCCAACCAGTTAAAAAGATGGTTAATATAGAAGTGCTAATTTTATATATCTCTTTAAACCTACTATGAAATGCAGTTATGACAATGCACCTATTTGGTAATGATTCAAAAATTGGGGAGGGGGAAGATTTATAATTTTATAGTTGCAATTTTCCAACAGCATCGTCCTTCTTTTGGTCTGTCAAGTACACAACTAGGAAAATCTTTTAAATAAGCATATTGGCTGGTATTTGTGCTACGTTTACTCTCCATTTTTGTTCTTTTCTTTCTCCAGTGTTGTGCATGATGGAATCATCTAGTCAAATTGACAAGTACTTATTGGATTTATCATTCATAAATCATAATTTATTTGGAATGTTCACAGAGCTCAGTGCTAGCACTGGAAGAGTCGGCATTAGACACTGATCAGGTTGAGAACCTGATGAAGTTTTGTCCTACGAAAGAGGAGATAGAAGTACTCAAGGTAGTGAGATAATAGCGTTAATTAATATGCAGAGTTCCTTAACATGATGGAAGTTCTCTTCGAAAAATTTAATAACTTCTGGTAATTGTTGAATAGGGTTATAATGGAGATAAGGAGAAGCTTGGACGATGTGAACAGGTATATTATTTTGTCCTTTGTATTTATTTATTTATGTAGCTCTTCTGTTTAACTTCAGTATGCATGAATATTTGAATTCTAGCTTTGCTTACACAGTTTTAACAATTAACTAGCTTAATACCCCTGTTGCACCGAACAATATAAAAATTTTAAATTCCAATTATAGTGAATATTGCATACATAGTCATCAATACTGACAATACATATTAAGAATTTTCAATTAAAATTTGAAATTTACACAATCAAATGCTTATTCTCCTAATTGAATAAGATGTATTTGAATTAATTTAAATTTTGAAAAGTAAGAGTAATTATCTTATTATTGTTCAAAAGAACAAATATATTTTATCATTCATGAGATATAATATTTGTATATAAAATTTGAATTGAACTTGAACTTTTTAAAAGTAGAATATATGAAAAAGAAAGCTTACTTATGGATGACGGAATTGTTTTAAGGAAGAACGAATTTGGAGGGAAAAAATGCAAGTATTAGTGACATGTGGCTCTTGCTTAAACTGTGTTTTATATAAAAGAAGAAAGATGCTTAAATTCAATGGTGGAGAGTACAGCTTTTTTAGTTTGGACTATATCTTGCCATTGTTTTTTATTATATCTTCATTTTTTTTTTCTTCATTACAGTTCTTCCTGGAGTTGATGAAAATTCCCCGGGTAGAATCTAAGCTCATGGTTTTCTCATTCAAGATTCAGTTTCACTCTCAGGTATAAAATTGCCATTTACTTTCTACAATACTAGGAAATAAAGGGCTTATAAATTGCTTTATAGTTTGACCCTAACATATTGTTTTGTAGGCTTCTGACCTTAGAGATAGCCTGCATGTTGTTAATGCTGCTTCAGAAGAGGCATGATAATCCTCCTTTATACTTACACTTTCTGGCATTTAGTTTTTTTTTTTTTTGTTCCACAAATAACATTTTGGTTGTCGCAATGGTTTTTTTTCAGATCAGGAACTCTGTCAAATTAAGGAGAATCATGCAAACAATACTTTCTCTAGGAAATGCTTTGAACCAGGGAACTGCCAAGGGTAAGATAAAATAAATGCACAATGAATCGTACATGTTTAGATTGCAAAGAAAAGTATAATCGTTTTAAGAATATCTCTGTTTTTGAAACAATTTAAATTCTTGCCAGATACACCTTCGTTATGCCGCTTAAAAGTGACATATTATTTGTGTGAATCTAATCCATAATCCTTATAAGTTTGTAAAGACTCGGGGCTCATGTCATCAGTATGCTTGTAAAACTCTTGTTTTCATTTCTGTTAACATTGTAAAATTATTCAAGTGCTTCTACCCAACAATTTAAATTTACAATTCTAGTGCTTCTATCCAACGTATTAAACTTTTGAATTAAACTAGTTGAATTCGTCCTTGACAAAATATTAGAGTCTCCTTCAATTAGTTACAAGGAGATATTGTTTCTCAAGTTGCATTGGACAAATTATCTTATGCAACAAAAATAAATAAATAGATGAGATCCACTAAGGTGAAGAGAGATAAAGAAAATAAGTGGGTCCGCCAAGTATAATAGTCTAGTGTATTGTCCTTGTTTAGTGCCCAAATAGGAGCGAACTTTTGGTGCGACGGTAGCATGTGCGACTTCCTTTCAAAATTTGCCACTTGGATTTATTTTTTTCTTTTTTCTTTTATTTTCATTTCAGTTTAACTTTCTCTCTTTATTTTTGATTGGTTTTCCCCACTGAGTAAATGGTACCACTGTTGTACCTTAAAAATTACCCCCAAATAGATCTTGGGTGGGGGTGAGGCTAAGGCTATTGCATCTTATATATGGTTTTGGCATTTGTGTTCCTTTGTACTTTCTCTTTTTACTTAGTTAGGGGGTGTTTGGTAAGCATATCTTTGGTACTACTGTAGTATGTACTCCTTTACTAAAAGTAGAAAATGATGATGGTTTAGGAGAAAATAACCATACAAAGAAGGGTAAAATGGTAAAAAAATATATTATTATTTCCAAATTAAGTAAATGATGCACTAAGTCTTCAGTACTACAGTAGTACTGAAGATATTTTCGTGTTTGGTAGAGGAATTTTCTTTTTTTTTACCAGAGAAATATAATTACTAGGAATATGGTGGGAAAATGAGTTTGGTAGAAGAGTTAAAAAAAGTTATTTGGTAGACCGAAATATTATCGGGAAAATTGGGTTAAATTTTCTGAGGTCTATATTTGGTTGAAGGTAAGATATTGATGGAAAGTGGTATTAGGGGTGTTCGCGGTCTGGATTGGATCAATTTTGGAAGCAAAAATCATTTGATCCAATCGCTTTGGTTTGATTACGTAATCATCCATTCGGTTTGGATTTTTTTTCAAATCCAATTCAATCCAATCCAATTTTTTTCGATTTGAATTGGATCGATTTTCGTTTTTTTGAAAAGCCTAAAATTTGTTTGATGATTATTGTGAAAATTACATTTTTTTTTTTTATTTTTTTTTTTTGATAACAAAATTACATATCTTTTGTATGTATTGATATTGTAAAGTTTTTTTTTTTTTTTTTAAATACAGAAGCATCAGTAAACGATAATCTAATTTTTTTGAGATACTCTACACAGACCAAATTTTGCTGATGGGGTATGACTAGGTTTTTTCTTGGATTTAGCTTATGCGTTAATGGGTCTTGAGTTTAGAATTTTTTGGGTTATGATTGGGGAAAAGCTCAAGTAGGTAGAGGGGAACTAATTTATTAGACTAGTTTGGATTGGATAGGTTTTCACCAACCAAACCAAAAATCGATCCAATCAAATTAAAATTTGTGGTTTTTTTTTTCGGATTTCGGTTTTTCGATTTTCGGTTAATTCAGTTTTCGGTTTTTCAGTTCGTTCACTGCAGTTTGAATCGGTTTAAAATTTGGATTAGTTGATGAACACCCTTAAGTGGTATTTCTTTACTTAGCCGGTAATCCCAAAATACCATATTGAAAGTGGTATTTTGAAACAGTAATTTTCATCACAAAATACACACAAATAACAAATTCTAGGCAATTTATTTTATTGGATTAATTTTTTTCAAACTTGTACCAAATATGATATTATTAGATATCTACCTACACTTTTCTAGCAATCCTAAAAGAAAACTCTTACCAAACACCCCCTAATGATTTTGTAAGTATTTTTTTATGTAGATTGAACTTTCTAAAATTTACTTCTTCTTTTTTTTTATTCCTACCCTTGAGAGTTTACTGGAAAGTAATTTTTTTAACAAAATAATAGAAGAAATTCTTTAAGACAAAAAAAATGATTACAAGGAGTTAGGAGGATTAGAGATTCTCCTTACAAAACAAAAGAAGAAGAGAAGAGCTCAAAAAATACATGTCAACCCAGGAAAACTGGAGTGTACTCTTCGGAGTTATGTGTTGGGTTATTTGGATAGAACGGAATAGCCTGGTCTTTGAGATCACAACGCTCACTGAGTATAGGATAGTCAGGAAGGCTTTAAACTTTTGTGCCAGCAGTTTTGGCGGAGAGGACTCTGGGAAGTATGGGAAACAACTATAATGGCAAGGAGGAACGATTCATTCGTTGGACTTTTCCTCTGGAAGGTTGGATAAAAGTGAACATCAATGGCTCTTGTAAGAATGACAGAGAAAGATCCGGTTGCGGGGTGTTGATACATGACAGTTCTGGGCTTTGGATAGCCGGTTTCACCAAAAACCTTGAATTTTGTTACGCAAAGAGTATCCAAGAGAGTGAGGCAACACTCTGTGAAACTCAAGGACTTTGTAGCTTGAGTGTATGTTCAGTTAGTAGGATGGTTAATAGTCGAGTTAGTTAACTGTCAGTTGGGAAGTGGGTTAGTTAGTTAAACTGGTTGTATAAATAGAATTTCTCTTGTAAAGAATAATCACTTCAGATAATACAAATTCTTGATTTCACTTCAATTTTCCATTTCTCCGTTAGGACATTCCTAACAATTGGTGCTTTCATTTTCTTGAATTTACGATGCGTCTGCAAGAGCTCGCTGAGGAGTTTGCTACGTTGCAAGCACGAGTTAAACGTGATAAGGAGGAGAACTTGCTCTTTCAAGGTCGCGTGGAGCAACGATTCGTCGAGAGTCGATCTGAGAATCAGGCTCAGTTTGCGAATTTGTCCACACAAATTCAGCAACTGCATAAGGCAATTCTTGGACGCGAAGATCGTGGTCGTCGCGAGTCTCAACCACGAAATCAACCACATGTTCAACAACCTGAAACATCATCTTCTCATATTCTGAATCGCGGTGAATTGGATTCCAGAAACCTAACCAAGGCAATTCGGTTAGAAATTCCACTTTTCAGTGGAACGGATCCAAACAATTGGATTTTTCGTACAGAGTTATTCTTTGTACTCCAACAAGTTCCAGAGGATTTCAAGGTACCGGTGGCTGGTCTGCGCATGGAGGGAATGGCGGCAGCATGGTATCAATGGATGTATCGAAGTGGCTTATTTCGTTCTTGGGAGGATCTCATAAAGGCCTTACGTGAACGATTTGGGGCTTCTACATACACGAACTTGAAGGGAGTGTTGTCGAAATTAACACAAACTTTTACGTTGCATGACTATTCAGCAATTCGAGGTATTACTCAATCAAGTGCCTGGCTTGGATGATGAATTGTATATGAGTTTTTTTATCTCCGGATTGCATACAGAGCTTAGAAGTGCGGTGCAACTCCGTCTACCTGTTACGTTGCATCAAGCAATGCAATATGCATTAGCTTATGATGATCACCATATGGAGTTAAGGAATTCGTTTTCTTCCGGTAACAGGAGATTTCCTTCGAAATTCTCCACTCCAACTTCTGAAGGAGCAGTTCCTTCTTCGACACCTGCACTAGTTCCTGTCAGTGCAAATTCCTCCACTACTCTCGTACCTCAAATTGGTCCTTCTAATTCGAGGTTAGCATTACCTGCTCCTCCAGCAATGAAAAAGTTCTCTCATGCTGACTTGCATAAGAAGAGAGAATTGGGTATATGCTATTATTGTGAAGAAAAGTGGAATCCTAAACATAGGTGTAAGAATAAATTGTTGTTAATGGTTGGTGATTTCACTGATGAGAATGAAGAGGAGGCGGAAATACTTTGGCAAACTACTGACTTGACAAAAGAGATACAGGATGGTTCTTTGAATGCTTTGCAAGCTACTGGTTTTGCAAAAGGGACACAGGATGATTCTTTGAATGCCTTGGATGACCACTCACGTACACATTCTTTGATATTTTCCTCGATCATTAACAATTGTGGGGTCTCCTTGTTAGTTGATTCAGGTAGCACTCATAATTTCATCAAGAGGCAGTTAGTGATTGACTTAGATTTGCCAATGATCCGTGCTAAGAAACTCAGGGTTTTCTTGGGCAATGGAGATTTTTTAGTGACTGATAGGAAGTGTCTCAGTGTTCCAATTAATTTGCAAGGTCACATTTTCTTGATTGATCTCTGGGTACTAGAATTGGTTGATTTGAGTGTTATCCTGGGAATGCCGTGGCTGCAACAATTAGGCAGGGTCACTCATGATTATGTGGAGCCTTCTATGGAGTTCCAATGGCAGGGGAAACAGGTTGTTTTGAAGGGAGACAACCAGTCTATGAATGAGAACATCAATGTTATGCTGTATCAAGGAGGAACATCAGGGTGTTATGCATTGAGGGTGAATTCTGATAATAATGCAAATTCTGAGAATATTGCAGAAGTACATGAAATCGAATTGGCCACCATAAAGGGAAGAGTTCCTGAAGATCTTTGGCCAGTTCTAGTGCGGTACCAATCTATATTTCAGATTCCCCATGCACTTCCTCCATTCAGGGGCTTGGACCATGCTATACACTTGCAGGATGATTCCAAGCAGGTGAATGTGAAGCCATACAGGTATGCTTACCACCAGAAATCTGAGATCGAGCAACAGGTATCAGATTTGCTGTCAGCTGGCTTCATCCAACACTCCCAAAGCTCATTTTCCTCTCCTGTTCTTCTGGTGCGGAAGCAAGATAACACATGGCGTATATGTATTGATTATAGGGCCTTGAATGCTATCACA